TATCAATACATTTTCTGTGATCCAACAATGTGGCTGGATTGTGCAAACGATTTTACTGTCACTCTTCTAACCTATCTCCTCTGACATCATGAATGACCCTGGGGATTTTACCACTGACCAATGAATTTCAAACGCATTGGCTTGTTTATCCGAGCGTAGACGATTGCCTAATGCGAGCAGCTTTAGTAAGTACAGTTCATCATAGAACACACCCATAGCAGAACACCGCAACGTTATTTATTCGAATCAGAAAGACCTTAATCTGGAGTAATGTTTCATTTCTACAGTCTTGTGCTAAAAACTGCTAAATTTTTAACTAGCAATTTACTCGTTAACACGCTGTTTGCACGCCCACCCATTAGCGGCGATTCCATCATGCACCCAAAGGTCAGCTAGCTGAACTACACTATACTAGAATGATTCGAATCAAATGAATGTGAAAGCTCTACAACACAATCGGTTCCCCTAGAAATATTCAAAAAGCCGAGCTCAAAGTGCATACCGCCAAAATCGCTTTTTTGCACAGTTACAATCAAACCGTTTGAAGTACCTGACAGCCAAACAAATTCTGCACGGAGTGAACACCTGGTTTCAAAGCTATGCATGCTCCTGAAACTTTATCGATCATCCAGAACTAGATCAGTCGTATCTTGAGCGAAAATTGGAGTGACGGATGAATATGGCAATCAGCGTTTTCATCAACATTATGCTCGCAAAGATGGGTTGTGCCATATGGTGACTAAGGCAAATAAAAAAAACGGTCCGATCAATTGTGTGATGGGCGAGTGGGTAGTAAGCTTGCGTTCTGCCTGTCATATCGCTGGTTCGATCCCCAGTTAGGTCGATAGATTCGTACTACTGATGAGACTCGATCAGATCAAAACAGCCGTTCAGTGCGTTCTAACTTTATAGTTCACTTTCCATTTCTACTTTAAACGACAACAGTCACCATATGAACAAGTAAAAAATAAATGTCTCGTAACACGTGCGTCATTTATGCCACTTTAGAGTTATATCAGTTATTATCCCCACCCACCGATATTCGCTGTATTTCGGACCCCAACCCGGGAACCCAGAGCGTCCTACAAATCCTAGTTTTGAGGCGAATCTCTTTGCCTTTCGAACAAAGGTTACTCGTTGTCTACCCCGCTGCCGCTTCCATTTGTGTCTGCTTGCTCAAACATAATACGACGGGTCAGTCACGTAACCGGCATTTGAAACACAACTCGCAGCCATCAAGAAGAAGACGGTGGTACTCAGAAGACAAACAAGATCGTTTGAGGTGAAGATTCTACGGCAAACATCGCAGTCCGTGATTCGCTGTTGTCAACGTTATCTGGCACTGCTACGAGGGCAATGGCGGTGAACGACATTCAGTCTCCGTAATGCTTATGCCTGTCTAACTGGCTCTCACAGTCGTAGGGTAAAACTACACACTGTGGCAGTTTCGACTCAGCCGTACAAGGGAAGGCTAAAACTATGTCTCAGCGACAGCTGACGTAGGTTAGTGAAAGCCAAACGGGCCTTGCGGATATGTGCTGATATTTCTTCTGTCAGTGTTCTTTAGCTTAGACTTCAATGGAAAAAAAGTAATTCTAAACTGCGTGATGGACAAAGCTAACTAGCATTGGATTTTTATGTGTCTTTGGAACAGTCACAGAGTATAATGAGGTCGTTTTGATGTTCGAAGTTCTAAAGTTGAGCATTTCAGAGAGATTTCACAACCGTAACCCTGCAGTTTTCTAGAGTGTTACTTAGGAGTTTGTTCATTTTGAATTAAAAGAGGAAGAGTGAAGCGGTACGACCGTGTTGGACTCCGCTTGTGATGATGAATCAAGCAGAGATACAATCATTTACCTAATTATTTTGAGTAGAAGGGTTTGAAAAGGTTCACGTACTTCTCGGTCACAGACAAGTTTAGAGAGCTGTTCTGTCAACTGAGTCAAATATAGGAAGTATGAACAAAACGATAACTGAAATTTTGTTCAGGAACTTGAGTTACAGTGAACATGTGGCCAGCGCACGTCAGTTCGCAGAGGAATCAAGCTTGTTCTTCACTGGCATGATATTTTCTAATCCAACTAAGTCTACGGAGGATCCACGATGTGATCACTTTGGATCCAACGGAAATGAGACAAAATTCTCTGTGTTTGGAGCAATCATGGTGGAGCCCTTCTTTAAAACGGATAAGACGTCCGCCAAGCCCTACTAGGATCGTGTGGATTCAATATTCCAGACGGTTTCAAATAAACAATTTTGTCATCAAACAAGGCTGGCATCAGCGCTTTCGAACAATGACGGACCGAGCTCGCCTGAGTGTTTCACAAGTGTAATCTCTAGAGAGACGTCTTCTTTGGTAGGCGGTGAAATGTCTACAAATCGTGAAGCACTGCATACTTCAGAATATGGAGGTATTATTGTCCATAGCTAACGGATTTTTTGATGGATGTGCTTCGTCCAGCATCCAAGCCGATGTTATCGTAGATCGTGGATACTTCAACAATTGGTTGCATAGATGCTTTCGACGACGTGTGTTTTTTGTTACCGGTGGCTCCGAGTAATGAAAATAGCTTTTGAGCATGACTGGAAGCATTGACTAGTTTCACCCCGGAAGCGCGAACTGTTTTAGTTCAGCACAAAGAGTCCTATTAACTGTGTTCTATTGATTACCTGGAAGAATGGTTAGACGGGTGTCAAACAGTTGGACAGAACGTGCCGGAACCCAATGATTGACGGTGCACTTGCCACGTACTTTGGTGGCAGACTTATAACTGGCTTCACGGATGTGAGCCCACTGTTTATGAATGTTCGAGGACGACGGACTGTCAAGATCAGCATCTAACGGTCGGATCGGTCTGTTCCACTAAATCGAATCTTTCCTGGTGGTGTTGCTGTTTTCCTGTAAAGTGCATGGAGAAGTTTACGCACGCGAGTTCATGATCAAAACTGTGACAGGTGCTTTAGATGCTTTCGTAATCCATTAGACAGTTTCTTTATCAATGACTAACGCCAATTTGATCTATTTTAGCCCAAAGTTGAACAAATAATAGAAGTCGTTAAGTGGCACGCTGGTACCATGGCCGTCAAATATTTTTGCTCGAACGGATTATACCATGGTCAATGAAGCCATGTAAAAGACGGTCACCATTGTCAGGAGCTGCTGTCATCCAAGTGAGTTTTCGTCAGCCTCTGACGTACCAGATGGCGAGTTCAAGTTGCCAACCAGTACCACCATGTTTATGTGCTTTCTACTGTGGAAAACGTTGGTGAGCTGATGGTATAACTGTTGGTACGGTTAGGTGGCAACCTGTGGAGTCGATCGCAAACATTTTGGTCCAACAGCGGATAGTTTTTGAGTAAAAATCGGAAATCTGGGGAAGGGTTGTTCATAGGTTGCGTGGATATGCTACATCCCGGTTGTCCTAGCTTAAGAAGAGGGATAAGGTCAGAGTTCACGTTCTAACCCTCTGACTTGAAAGCCAGACCTGCAAGACAGATAGCAGGACAGAACTCTGAGTCCGCATTTCATGGGGGGTTGGTGTCCAGTTTTTCGTTTCATATGACCTTCGGTAGGGATAAATCGTCCAAAATGTCCAATAAAACTTCATGTCCAATGAAGCTAATGGCCACTGGAACAACCAGAAAGATCAGTGTCTGTCTCATGTGCCTCTTTTGTGTTGATTAGGTATCAACGTTTGGAACCAGCTCCCCAATGTGAATTGTCAGAGTATCACCAACCGTGTAAAGTCCCGGAAGTTTGGTTTTCGTCCTGTCACTTTGGTGGGAATTTGTCCGAAAAGAGAAGGAATTGAGCAAGGCATTTTTGTTAGAAGCCATTTCTTACGTTCAGTTATATCGGAGCATTTCCCAATGAGGAAAGCAAGGGTGACCAGCCACAACCCAAGACACCCACTTCTGACCATAGTGCGGCTTTCGGAGACAGTATGGACGTGGAACAAAAGAGTGATTGTTTGACTGAAGTTCAGCTGAGCTACGTCCACTGTATCATGTTCCTGTGGATAATCGTCCCAATGCTACTTTCTCCGTTTGGTTACATTCCCATCCCACTGAAAATGTCAGTCCCTGGTACACCCTTTCTATCTCTTCGATCAATCGCTCCACACAATCAACTCGTCTCTCTTTGATTCCTCTTCATTCTATGATCCCTATCGTCCGTTCAGCCTCGTTCGCTTCTCAGCTGCACACTATTTTGTCATGGCGTATTGTTCGTTTAGCTCTGTATCGTCATGCGGGGTATGGGATACGAGTACGAAAGAAGGCGCCTATTGGCTGTGCAAAAATCGTTTACCTAAACCTATATTCAGAAGATGATTCAGTGATTGCTTTTCCATGTATATCATCCTACCCGTGTAAATCAGAGCAATACATCTTCCAGAATAGTATCCAAAAATAACATTGAATTATATACAATTATTCTTTTCGCTTAACTATTTTCAACTCCAGATTATAAGCTTCGAAACGCACATATATATATTGGTAAAATAATGAATCCACTTGTTTGTCCTAGATACCAATGAAAACATAGTGAACCTTCTAGTAAAACAAAGAATACATTCAGCTCTTTATATGTTGCATAATCTTGTATTTGTTACATTTCTGCAAATATGTTGCTTTGAAATGTTCCATTTCTTTTTTTTCTGTCAGCCTATACCAAACGATTATATGTGAGCATATGATTGAGAACCGTTTTTGGTGCTTTGATACCCGTCACTTCGCAAGAGGAAATGCGTATTCCCTGTTTATCGTAAAATGGAGAGTTATTCTGCTCTAACCACTCGCGCACATTCACAGAAACGATCGTGATCTCGTAGAACGGAAGCCAGAGGGAATTAATTTGTTCTCAGGAGTTCAGTTCACCACTAATGGTCTACCATAAATTATAGTGGAATTAATTGAACGATACGATTTGCTCAGGAAGTGAAATGTTTTATCCAAGTTGAACTCAGAACAGATCGGAAGTTGTAGCATTCCGTGACCCCATGGACTCTATCTGGGTACAAAACATCATGGAACCCATGAAAAACAAAGGAGCAGTCGAAGAGCAAGATTCACCTCCACCTCCATCTCTGAATTGTTGTAATGCGTTCGATGTGATGGAGGTCGCCACACGTGAACATCCGCACGAACGGCAACGCAACACGACACACATACGCACCGCTGTTTGGTCAAAGATCTATCCGCAATTAATCACCACGATTAGGCATACCCCGTGACGTGTGATCTGGTCATCCGAAAAATCGGGAATATCCTGCTTTTTCATGTTCACGCTCCGTACCGACTGTGATGTAGCAATGAAACCCCACGTGCGGATTTGACAATGATAAAGATAGTTAAGTCGGTGTGTGGCTTGGGTGTAGTTGCAAACTAGGAGAAAATAGGGAGAGAGAGTGGAATAAAGTTGCATTATTGTAAATGAAATATCTCCGGTATTCAACTAGTCATAAGGAGTTTTCATCTGAAAACATAATTCAGATTGAATATAATTTCCCTGTCGAGTGTTATTCCCCATTTGCAGCCAATTTGGTCACAAGGAAGTTATTACAGTTAATCAAAAAAAACAGTTGGTTCAAAATTGTGGGCAATTCATCACCATCTCATCATCAAGGACTATCACTTATTTTGAATCTGTTTTTCATTTACATCTTGACCACAGCGATGATGTACTCCTATCCTGCCACGGTGTTAATGAGTAAAGCTATCTCAGATGAGTAATCTAAGGCAGATATTAAACGTTGTTTCGTGGACAATAATTCGTGAGATCAATCAATCAATATGATCGAATGTGCAAACTGAGGATAAACTGGGTACGCAAATCAACCACTTCGAACGATGTGGCAATGATTATCTGTGGATTGCTAGGTGGAGAAGGCATTTAACGCACACGCACATACATCTACACAAAAGATGTTTTGACCAACGCTACTCTCTTCCGACAAATTCGAATTCCACTAACAGCAAAGTAATGTTTTCACTAAATGCGATGGAAATATTTATGATAACCGACAAAGAAGCATTGTACAGCTGTTTCGTCCTGTTTGGGACTTGTCATCAGTGCGTACGTTTTGTGTCCCTGTCGGGACTCGAACTACGAACAAGAAGTGAAACTCACACAGATCATCATCAACCGTGCCTGGTGCCTGTGAAGAACCGAATGGAATAAACCAAGCTTGATGCTCTAACTTACTTGAGACTTTCGCACAAGGTGATAAACGTTGACCGAGTGGCTCAGGGGTAGGGGTTTGAGGTCCCGACTCAAATGTCCACGGTTCGAGTCCTGACAGGGACATAAAAGTACGCATTGCTGACTAGTCCCAAACAGGTCGAAACAGCTGTCCAGTGCTCTTTGTCGGTTATCACAAACATCTCTATTGCATTTACATACATTGCAATAGTGTGGAATTACCGATCTTCCAAGGAGTGAAACCGATACTGAACATCATCAACAGTTTGATGTTCAGTTGTTCGCCGAGCTTGGCAATTGTATTGCAAACGTTTCATCACCAATCGAGGCGACATTCTCAATGCAGTAACAGGTACCTTCAAAAACCGAATGGGCCAATCCAAACATTCAGCATCTAAATGTTCTCTTGCTCATTATCAGCCAGGTAAGACAGGAAACATGTGACTGGTTAGGTGAAACTATATTGTATACTGTTTTCAGCTTGACCTGTTAGATAAGAATGGATTCGTTCAAACTTAATTGTGTTTGGCATAGTTTTCCAAAGGCCCTAATTCTCTCATGTTGTGGGAGATGAACTAAACAGTGTTGTTCAGTCTAGCGTTTGATGGGATTCCGTTCAATCGCTGAGAAGAAAAACAGTCACTGAATGGTTCTTCTTGTATGTAAAAAGAAATGGTGAGTTTCACTCAGGGTAGCTGATTAAAAGTGCTTGAACGAAACTCAGGTTGTTTAAATTGATATAGCAGAAATTTTCCAATTGATCATTTTTATTCTAATCAGTGATCGATGATGATGATAAATTGCCAAATACTGTGCCTGTTTCAGTCTGATTGTCTTGAATTGGAACAACACCGTAACTAAATATGTGTCACACTTAAAAAAACATTCAATTTTGTCACCGCATAAGAACGCAAGTGGGCATAGACCGGAAAAATTGCCCTTTTGGCTGTTATTCCTTGTAACGCAAATATGCAGTTGCATATGAACAATAAATTAATTATCACTATATTCAAGTTCTGCAAATCGCATTGTGTAATCTATTTTTATTACGTGAATTCCGTCATCGTGTATATAGTAATTAAAGCATGAAAGGAACATTGAGGAAGCACTGAACAACTGTTTTGATACCATTAGTGATAAGAGCCCATCCACCAAACTGGGGATCGAACCCGGGGCCCACAGGTAGAAATCTAGCATACTACTAACTCGGGCATCGAGCAGCTGTTAAGACGTTCATTTCCCGCTTATCCGACTGAGCACAACTCACTTTTGTGAGCTCAATGCGGACCTTCTTTGGCCAGTACGAGCCTCCCGGGTTACGACCGCGTGGGAAACATACCAATCCTGACTATATGTGATTTTATTAAACGTAGAATATAAACATATATTTCTTTTAAAGTAGAAAATGTTCCCCGGTTTCCTGTCAACCTTTTATACTGCAATCAGCATAACACAACTCTACCTATTAACCTTTCCGGGAACTTGAGTTGCACTTTTCAAAGAATAAACTTCCCAATACGCAAGCTTTAACCGTCCTATTCACTTAACAGTTCAGTTGATTCTTTAGTTCCTTGAAACAAACAACAATTTCGCTTGTTCATTGCAGTTTGTCTACTAATACGAAAACGTTACATCACAAACTACCGGGCTCATTGTAACCAATTGTAACATTGAAAGCACCAGTCGCTGAAACTCGCTTCGTCTAGATACATTCAGGACGGGTATAATCCAGATGTAGTTATCTGGGACCAATCAACAATGCTAGTCAAGGTTCCTCACGTCCTCCGGAGTCAATGAGATGATGATCTTCATCATCGGACCGCCGAAGCTAGTTGTTACTGACAATAACATGCAATTTACTCTGTTTGGGAACGTCGGATATATCCTTGAGATATCACTTGACAAGAGTGTCTCCCACACAATTGTGTTGTATTGATAGTTGATATGTTGCTTACAAGTGCATCGATCAATCCACCTTAGTCCCTTGAAATAAAATTACCACCAAAGCTTTTCATGTTCAATAGGAGATTTCCCTGCTGAATCTTGGCAAGGTCACCATCACGTTTAGTTCAGAGAATCAAACTATCACGTGATATGACCTGATTATTTGTGATTCAACTAGTTCGCTGAAAACTGAAACATGCTCACATTTCGTGAAAGTGAAAACTGTACAGGTGCAATAGAAGTGCGTCCCTAGCGATGCCTACTCTGGCGGCGAAAGACTGATGCGGACACTCTAGTAGAGGTATCTTCCAACCGCGAATTTAAATGAATGTCTCCTGCGATGGACGTTGAATGATAACGTAAGCTTCGGACAATGCGGAGTGTAAACAGGCTAATGTCTTTTCCTATAGATGTGTGTAACATATATTTGTGTCATATGTGACGATTTGTTTGCCCTGGTAAACAAGCAAGCCTCGTAATCTTATGTGTTGTCTAACAGTACTGTTGTCTTATCTCGGAATCCAGCGGACGTTGAAGCGGTTGCTTCTTATCTCAGAGAATTCCACCGAGTCGAAATGTTTCCTTTGGATTAGGTGATGCTAGTGAGGAAAATATTATAGTACTAGTTAGAGGGTGATGTAACTAGTGATTTGAGGACGGTATTAGACATTTCTTGCTCTTATCCTCCATAGATTTGGTCAAACGTAACATTCAATTATTCAAACTCCAATACATCCAATCCCTGACTTCTTTCTGGTCGCCGAAAAACCAAGACGGGAAGTTTTGCCTATCTGATTGTGTTGCTTAAATTCCACTGAACTATTTTTCCTCTACTTATCGTCTAGCGAAAATTCGCTAGACGCACCACTTAGCCAACGGTCCAGATTTGTTTGTTCCGCGCAAATTAGTTTATCTCCAGACACACGGTTGCTGATGCCGACGGAGGTCGGTCGAGAAGCTGAACGACTGGCGCATGGAGGGGGGAGAGAGGCGGGGCTGAGGAAACAGAGTTTTAGTCAAATGCCACCTCTAAATTTCCTCCGTATAAAACTCGTCTTTGTCCGCGTTGTTCTGGACCTGTACACGCGTGATTAAACTTGTCAGCTCTAGCGGGTGATAATCAACTTGGGTCTAATAAAATTATCTTTTTTTGAGGAACAAGTCTTGTTTTCTGATTAGTCCCACTTTCCAGACGACGCGCAACGACAAGAAAAGTGTTTCCAATCACCCTACTGTGCAGAAGGTCTGTTGTGATGTTTTGCGATGCTACACCTTACTTAAATTCAAGCCATGTTGACAGGAATCGCTCATTCAATTTTACATTCTAGTCATACCTTGGACACATTAA